GTAGTCGGAGTAGGGGTTAACCTGGTGGTGATTGGTGGGTGGAACTCGGTCACTTGGGAGGTTTTGAATACTGTTTTCATCTATAATTTTGCTTCTGCCACGTGGAGACGAGGTACTGACATGCCAGGTTGCAGAAGATCATTCTTTGCATGTGCGTCTGATTCTGATCGGATGGTTTTTGTGGCAGGTGGACATGACACCAAGAAGCGTGCTATGAAATCCGCCATGGCGTATGACTTGTTGACCAACACGTGGGTCTTATTACCTGACATGGCAAGAGAATGTGATGAATCAAAAGGAGTCATCCATCGTGGCAAATTCCATGTCATCGGTGGGTACCACACCAGCATGCAAGGAAGGTTTGAGTGTAGCGCCGAAGAATTCGATGTTACAACTTGGCAATGGGGTCCAGTTCAAGAGGACTTCCTAAATACTGCCACATGTCCAAGGAATTGTGTGGATGGTGGCAACATGCTGTTGTACATGCCTCGGGAAACCATCATGGCAGCACGACAAGGTTCCACGTGGCAAGATGTGGCAGAGCTACCAGCCGATGTCCGGAGTACATCTTATATGACAGCATGGCAAGGAAACCTATTTGTTATTGGATCGGGAGGATTTGGTGCGCCACATAAGGGGTACCTACTGGATTTGAAGAGTTACAAGTGGGAAAAAGTTGACATAGCAGAAAATTTCTCCGGTCATGTTCGATCAGGATGCTGCTTGAAATTATAATCCGAGTGATATAAAATTAGAGTTAGCCAATACTACTTTGTATAAATTAGAGTTGCTTATATTAGTGTCACAAAAACTGGCCAATTTGAATGTGTGGCAAATTTGGTGTTTCAACTAAATGTGTAGACGTGTCTCTCAACTTGGTAAATGTATGTATTGTGTATCGTACAATTTTAGTTTATTTTTCTTTCTCATATAGAATATGATAATGCTATATTTGGTGATGTCATCTGAGATCACTATTGCGACCAAATAACGATCAATTAGAAATAACATTGATCTATCGTAGAACTGTTGAACGTTTGCTGCAATCAATTGAAGTTTGAATGTTATATTATATATTAACACTCAAAAAATCTTTGCTCATATACAAACATACTTAGTTGCTGTAAAAGCAGAATAAAGTGAAACGAAGGAAAGAAGATAATTTGAAGGTGAACAAAATTAAAGTTATCATTCTATATTTAAAAGCTGTGATGCCAGTCCAGCCCAATAGGCGATGATGAAATGGCTTTCAGCCCAATTGCTATTGCCCAATACATTCAACTGAAATGAAGGCCCAGATCACCCAGCCCAATAGCCCGTCCGGTAATAAGCGTGTTTGACTATTGCAACTTTGGTTGTATTTCTTGTTCCAGAAGCGTGAGTTTCTCTGGATCGTTGGATTGCCTGTTGCCCAATCTTGATGCGTTGATATTTTGGTACTCGAATGGTTTTTCATTCATTCGATATTTTCATTCTGTTTGAGGGTTTTCTAGAGTCTTCATACTATCTCTTTTCATCATCTTCTTCTTCAGCTGTGAGGATCTCTTGAATCTATTTCTTGAGTGTATTTTTTGTGTGAAATCTGGTGAAAAGAAATGCTGCTGTTGTTGGTAACGTTGAGCCCTTCTGGTTTATAGAAGAAGTTGCACGTTTACTGTGAATCGTAAGGGTTCTGGGTGAATCTGGGTTTCATAGAGTTGATATAGATGGGTACAATATTCTAGGCCTTCGATCTGGGAAACCTTGGTGTTCAGTGGTTCTTTGGAGATAAACTTTTGTAATAGGTGTTTGAGTTCTTTAGATCTGTAATCTTTCAGTTTAAGTTTTGTATAACAGTGGTATCAGAGCCCCTCTTGGCTGTTTTTGAGTCTTCGATTGAGTTTTGGAGATTGGAAAATTAATTTTCAGTCTTCGATCTTCAAGCGCCTGAAAATCAGGAAACCCTAGTTCTGGTTTTCTTTTGATTTGAGATTTGTAAGTACTGATATGGAGTTTTGGTTGATAGATGTGTTTGGTGTTCGTGATTTCTTGGTTTGGTTTGGTTTGAACAAGATACCCTATATATAGGAATTTCTTTGGTTCTTGATCTCCTTTGTGGTTATCTGGTGGAACACCATCCCTCTATTGTGACCTTCGATCTTCCCTATTGCATTGTGGTTTGTCTGTTGGTGGTTAATCTTTGACCACCTCTCTGGTTTGCATTTTCTAATACTGAAATTCCCCACCCCTGAGTCTGCATATCCATTCCTGCTGTGCATTTTTGTGTAATCACCATTAGTGATCAAATTGTGCCTTGACCTGAGAATAAGAGTTTCACGGAATTCTAGTGAATTTGATCATTCCTAGGGTGACTACAGCTGGTTCCTTTCATTCTGTTTTTGACATATTGTTCAACCTGTTTTCTATTTTTTTATCATTACTTTCTTGATTCTGATTTATGCTATTTGTTTTGAATTCTTTTGTAAATTTAGAATAACTGTGTTATTTGATTACTGCTTATTCTCTGTGTCCTATTTCCCTTTCCCTTTCCCTTTTGTGTAGATCAATCTACTGTTTTCTTAAGTGCATCAGCTGCCATAGTTTTAAAGTTTTGAAATACTTTGTATTATTTCTGAATAATAAAATATGATAAATACTTTTGAATTTGGTATTTTTGATGGAAACGTGGATTTTCTCATTTGGCAACAAAAGATGAAATGTGTTTTAGTTCAAACAAAAGATTGCTAAGGCAATAACACAAAATTTTCCTGAAAATATGACAACTGATCATATAACTAAAGCTGATGAACTTGTTTATACTTCTATTATTCTGCATTTGTCTGATCAAGTCTTGAGGAAAGTAGGAAAGCAAGAGAATGCTAAGGCCTTATGGGATGAGTTAGAGAAGTTTTATCTAGTTAAGTCTTTACCCAATAAGTTGTTTCTGTAGGAAAGGTTCTTTAGTTTTAGGTTAGACACCTCTAAGGATATCGAAGACAATCTTGATACCTTCAATAAGTTGGTTCAAGATATCACCAATGTTGGTGATAAAGTCTCTAATGAGTATAAGGCTGTTGTGTTATTGAATGCAATTTCTAACACCTATAGAGAGGTTAAGGCTGCCATAAAATATGGTAGAGATACTTTTACACATGATATAGTTATAAACTCTTTGAGAAGTAGAGAGCTAGAACTCAGGTTTGAGAGGGGAAATTGAGGTCCTAAGACTCTGTTTGTTAGGGACCCAGAACAGGTTTAGTAGAAACCAAGAAGGCTTTAATAATCAGGGAAATAATAATAGAAAGAAGTTTAAGAGTAGGGGTAGTTCTAAGTCTAAGACTAGGAATAAGAAATGCTATGGGTGTGGAAAAAATGGACACTTTATAAAAGATTGTTATAAAAAGAAAAATGAACATAAAGGAAAAGGAATTGATGAAGGAAATGTAGTTGAACTTAATGATTCTAATACTGTTGATGTCTATGTGGTGATTGAACCTTTATGTGATTGTGATTCTGTCAATGTTGTCAATGAAGGAAATTAGATCCAAGAGTGGATCTTCGATTCTGGTTGCACCTTCCACATGACTCCTAAAAGGAGTTGGTTTGACTTCTTTAAGAAGATTAATGGAAGAAAGGTAGTCATGGGTAATAACATTTCCTGCAGAGTTGGAGACATTGGAAATGTTACATCGGAATTTGAAAATGGGTATATCTTTACCCTAAAAAGGGTAAGATATGTTCCTGAATTGAACATGAACCTGATTTCAATGGGAAACTTGTATGATTTAGGCTTACAAGGTAAAGTTGGTGATGGTTTGTTGAAGGTGATGAGGGGATCACTTATGATGTTTAAAGGTGTTAAGAGAAATGAGATTTATGTAGTTAAGGCTAGTGTTGTGGTTGATTACATGGCCGAGTCTTCCAATGCTGAACTTGATGCCACTTTAAAGTGGCACAAGAGATTAGCTCATGTCGGTGAGAAAAGCCTACATATCCTTCATAAAAAGGGAGTTTTTGGGAAGGACTCTATTTCTAGCGTTACTTTTTGTGAAAATTGTACTTTAGGGAAGTAGCACAAACTACATTTTAACACTGAAAAGCATAAATCTACCTCTGCCCTTAAATATATACATTCTGATTTATGGGAGCCTTCATCCACTATCTCTTAAGCAGGAAATATATACTTTCTTTCCTTAATTGATGACTATTCTGGGGGTTTGGGTTTAACTGTTGAAACACAAATCCGAAACTTTTGGGAAGTTTAAAATCTGGGAAGTGTTAATAGAGAATCAAACTAGAAAGAAAATAAAGACTCTTAGGACTGACAATGGTCTTGAATATTGTAATGTTGAGTTTAATCAGTTTCGTATTGAAAATGGGATTAGGAGGCATAAAAAAGCTCCTTATACCCCTCATCAAAATGGAGTGGCTAAGAGGATGAATAGAACTTTGTTAGATAAGGTGAGGTGCATGCTGGTTGGCTCAGGTGTACCTAAAACCTTATGGGGGAAGCTTTAATGACAGCCAGTTACATTGTTAATAGAACCCCTTCAAGTGCTCTAGGTGATAAAACAACTAAAGAGCAATGGACTAGAACAGTCCCTGACTTTCACATCTGAAAATTTTTGGATGTGTTGCCTATTATCATCAAAATATAGGAAAATTAGAACTTAGGGCCCAGAAATGTGTTTTCTTGGGTTATTCTGATGGGGTGAAGGGTTATAGGCTGTGGAGTAGGGATTCTAGTGGTTTTAAGATTATCACTAGTAGGGATGTTATCTTTGATGAGCTGAACATGTCCTGAAGAGCAATGGATTGGTACTATTCCTGATTATACACACTTGAGAGTTTTTGAGTGTGCTGCCTATTCTCACCAGAATTTAGGAAAATTAGAACCTAAGGCCCAGAAATGTGTTTTCTTGGGTTATCCTGATGGGGTTAAAGGTTATAGGCTTTGGAAGAGAGAGTCTAGTGGTTTTAAGATTATCACAAGTAGGGATGTTACTTTTGATGAGTTTAACATGCCCTGTTTGAAAGATAATGAGCCAAATAAACTACTTAAAGAGAAAGAAAGAGATAAAACCAAGCTGTGGGTAGAGCTTGGTATGCCATCCAAATCTGTTGATTCTGAACCTGAAAATGTAGATTTTTTAGATGTTGGAGAAGAGGGCGAGGTTCAAGAAAATTTAAAAGAACAAGTGATGTAAGTGATTACCAATTGACTAGAGATAGAGTTAGGAGAGATATAAGAGAGTCTGTTAGGTATAAAGATTACCTATCTTTTGCTTTGCTTTCTTATTAAGACCTAGTCTTTAGAGAGCCAAAATATGAAGAGACTATTTCATGCCAGCAATCTAAGGACTGGCAGGCTGCTATGAATGATGAAATGGACTCCTTGATTAAAAATAATACCTGGACATTAGTTCCTAAACCTACAAGTAAATTCCTTGTTGATTGTAAGTGGATTTTTAGTATTAAGGAGGGTAACACTGAGAAGATGCCTATAAGATTTAAGGTTAGACTTGTTGCTAAATGTTTTACACAAAATGAAGGCATAGATTATAATGAAATCCTCTCTCCTATGATTAAGTATACTACTATTAGAGTTATGTTAGCTCTTATCGCACATTATAATCTTGAACTTGAATAAATGGATGTAAAAACTGCATTTTTACATGGTGATCTTGACGAAGCATATATGAAACAGCCACATGATTTTATTAATAAATCTAAAACTGAACAGGTTTGTTTGTTGA